TTTCTTTCTTTCGTTCTTTCTTTCTTTCTTTCTTTCTTTCTTTCTTTCTTTCTTTCTTTCTTTCTTTCTTTCTCTTTCTTTCTTTAAATTTAGCCAGAGAGGGACAGTGGGTGGGGGGAGTGAGAAAGGAAGCCACCAGGTCCGGGAAACGAACCACAGTTGCCCATGTGGGAGTCCAGCACCCTTAACCACCACACCACCTGCCGCCCCAGCCCTCACTCTTGCCCATAACACGGGGCTTCCTCCATGATGACCAGCGCACATCGGGCCACGCTGAACGGCGGCGTCCTTGATCATTTCCACAGTAACGTGTCTTTCCTTTCATGTGCAGGTGGAGCCTATGGCATACGTCCGCCATGAACTTCTCACAGGTACTAGAGTTCTAAAATGTCCCTGATTTAAGTACATATTTTAAAACTTATTTTAAAAAATTGCAAGAGGTGGTGACTGCTATATATTTCTGCTTTCAGTATTTAAAAAAATAGTGAAACGTTGAGATGAATGGTAGCCAGAACTTACTCTTTCTTACGTAGGAATAGAATCTGAGACAAGTCCCTTGAAGTTGTCCTCAAACTCTCAGAAAGACCCTTCCTCGAGTTCTTACATATTTCAGAGGATCTCCCATGGGAAGCAGATGTGTCAGAAGTTGAAAGAACAGACAGATCAACTGAAGACCAAAGTAATACTTTAAATCTTTTTATGACTGAAAGAAGTAACCAAATTCAAACACGAGACACCAGGTCACTAATGAAACATCGCTTTTTTTTTTCCTGCAGGTACAAGAATTTTCCAAAAGAATAAAACAAGATTCCACCTGCCATTTGCAAGACAGGAAGCTGGTAATGAAGTTTATCTTGTTTTTAAAAACTTCATTAGGGAGTTTAACGCGTAAACAAAACGGCTTTATTTTTTCTTCTCTACAGTGGTGGGAGTAATGTGTTTGGGAGAAAACGTTTTGCTAAAGATTAAACTGTCCTTGTTCATGGGGGCTAACAGAGCTTAAAATCCTCTTTCTGCATGTATTTAGCACCACGCCCACCCCCACCCCCCAGAATTTTTAAGGTTTTTGTCATAGGGGGTATGTGCTTGCTTGCTGGAGAGAGATAGTGAGAGGGAGAGTGAGAAATCACCACCCAGGGAGGATGGCCTCCACGCTGCAATCCCTTGTCCTCCATTCTCCTCTCTAGTATTTAACCCTCTTTCTTCCTCAGGGGATCAATTACATATGGCTATTAATCCTTGACAGTCACCCTATAATAAATCTGAGACCATGGTAGTTTCAAGAGATGACCATAAATAAAAGCTGTTGTAAAGGGTAAACCTATCCATAGTTGATGGGGCCTGTGGATGTGGCTTATAAAAATGGCTGGTATTGGGCTAGCAGGTCGTGTGGTGGTTGGGGTGCTGAACTCCCACTCCAACTGCCAGCTGCAGTTGGAGTCCTAAACCTGGTGGCTTGCTTTCTTACTTTCCCTCTCCCTCCATCTCTTTCTGGCATGCTCATGTGTCCTGTAAGTAAATAATTCTTTTTTTTTTTTTTTGGAGAGGCTTTTGCTATAGGGTGCATGTGCTTGCCAGAAAGACAAAGACAGAGAGATAGAAAGTGAGAAATCACCCCCCGGGGTGTATGGCCACGCCGCAATCCCTTCTCTATTCTCCTCTCAGGATCTTGGGCACGCACACACACACGCCCGGTGTGAGTTTAAGCCACCGGGTCTGGGACTCAAACCGCAGTCAACTACATGGTAGTCTAGCAACATAGTCATTACGGTAACTGCTGGTCCCTGTAAGTAAATAATTCTTTAGAAGAAAAAAAAATGTCTGGTATCTGCAATATGTACAACTTTGAAAACTCTTAAAATCAATTGTAAGCAACGCTTTTGGATCAAAATCTTTACTCTGTTTTTGAGAGCGATCTTTGCTATAGGGCGTGTGTGTTTGCTGGAGAGACAGAAAGAGACAGAGACACAGAAAGCGAGAAATCACTCCCTGGGGAGGATGGCCACTCTGCAATCCCTTCTCCTCCTTTCTCCTCTCAAGATTTTGGGCATGCACGCACATACTCCTGGTGTGAGTTTTAAGTCGCCAAGTCCGGGACTTGAACTGCAGTTGACTATGTGGGAGTCCAGCAATGTAACCATTATGCCATCTGCTGATCCCCAAAATCTTTGCTTCACATCTCTGCTTTTTGTTGCATTTAATCGAACCACCAACTTCTGTTGTTACAGTAACAGCCTTATCATGGGAAGTTGGGATAGGGAAATGAGGCCAAAGGGTGAGCCTGGAAGAACGGGAAATGTGCAGGGGTTGAAGATGTAGTTCAGGCTGTTGGGTCAGCAACATGGTGGGTGGTCGGAGTCCTGAGGTAGGCCCAAGCCAGGTTCAGGGCAGGCTGCTCTTCAGAAGTCTACGAGTATGGACAGAACCGAGGAAGACCAGAATGCTAAAACACACAGTCGATTATTCCTTCATCATACAAATTAAGTCACTCATTCATTCAACAAACATTTATCAGGCATTTCCCATGTCCCAAATCCTTTAATTCTTGTCAGAAATAAAGACTCCAATCTCACCTTTCTTCAACTCCCCTCTTCTGCCATTGTCTTCCATGGGCTGGTGATTTGGAGACTAAAAACTTTCTTTTTAAGTGGCTTAGAGTCTTCTAGGAGCAACAGATCAGTAAACAGACAAAATGCAGCTTGAGGGGTCAGCAGGTGGTTTGATGGTTAAGGCACTGGATTCCCACATGGCTGACTACAGTTGGAGTCCCTGACTGGTGGCTTGAAAATCATGCTGGGTACATGTGAGTGGGTGCCCAAAATCCCAGGAGGAGAATGGAGGAGAAGGGATTGCAGCATGGCCTTTCCCCCCTGGGGTGAGGGCGGGAGTGGAAGAGGTGATTTCTCACTCTCTCTCTATCTCTGGCGAGTGCACATGCCCTATGGCGGGGAGGGGAAATTGCAGCTTGAGGTCCAGCCTAGGCACGGTTGGTAGCAAACTGAAATTTAGTGATAGAAGCTGCATGGCCAGCTGCAGGTATGGACCCCTGGGTGGACTTGAAAATATGCAGGTGTGTGTGCTCATGCCCAAGATCCTGATGAATAAAATAAAGTAAAACTTAAAATGTAGCTTGATTAATGTTACAAATGATACTCATGGTGCCTAGAAGGAGCACACTCTTGTCAGGTAGGAGACACTCTGGACGACTTGCTGAAAATAACTTCTTATTTATTTTAATTTTTTTGGAGAGGTTTTCGCTATAGGGTGCATGTGCTCACCAGACAGACAGAGAGAGACATAGAGACAGAAAGCGAGAAATCACCCCCCAGAGGGGATGGTCACGCCACAATGTTTTAAGCCGCCAGGTCTGGGACATGAACCGCGGTCGACTATGTGGGAGTCCAGCGACATAGCCATTACGCTAACTGCTGGTTCCCGAAAGTAACTTCTGAAGTGGATACTGCAGGAGGAACAAGGATGAGCTTGGCAAAGACAGGGCAAAGGAGTGTTCTAGAGAAAGGAAACAACAGGTACATGGCACAGGGGCAAGAAAGTTCTGCTAGTGTGAAGATCTGTGCAGCTCTGTAGTTTACCGGATGGAGCTCAGGGCACGTGTGGTAAAGAGAGAGGAGAGCAGAGGGTAGATGAGGACCACGTCATAAGGCAGGCCAAGGCGCTAAGGTACTACCCTGAGAGTGAGTGATGAGGCAACACGGAAGGACTTGAAGCCAAGGAATGGCAGGCACTGTGGAGGCAAGACGGTAGACACAGACTTTCATTAGGAAGCCATAAACCAGGTAACATGTTCTGAGGGCCCAAACGAAGGCCAACAAGGAGGTTGGAGACCGACGGAAGTCTGAGGGTTTTAGGAAGCAGATGGAAAGGGGTGAATGAAGGAAGGGAGGAGGCTTGGATAAGCTCCAGATTTCTGACTCGGAGAACTAAGGTCAGGAATAAAAGTGGAAGATCCAGTTTAGAATGGGTGTGGAAAGCGGGCAAGAGGCAAGGTGTCAAGCTTCATGCAGGGTATTTTGAGTCTGAAGTCCCTATAGGACATCTAAGTGCCAAGGTCTAGTAGGCAGTTAGAGCGACAGACCAGGCCCTCGGAGTTGTTCGAACCAGAATGCGGATTTGGGCATAGTTGTGGGTTGTGGGTTGAAGTTATTGGGTGTGTGTGTGTGTGTGTGTATGTGTCCAGACAAAATAGCAGAGTGAGACCTGGAAAAGGGCCAGGGAGGGACCAGCAGTTAGCGTAATGGCTATGTAGTCAACCGCGGTTCACGTCCTAGACCCGGTGGCTTAAAACTCAGGCCGGGTGTGTGTGCGTGCGTGCCCAAGATCCCGAGAGGAGAATGGAGGAGAAGGGATTGCAGCGTGACCATCCCCCCTGGGGGGTGATTTCTCGCTTTCTGTCTCTCTGTCTCTGTCTGTCTGGCGAGTGCATGCGTCCTATAGCAAAAACCTCGAAAAAAAAAGAAAGAAAGAAAAGAAAAAAAAGAAAAAGAAAAAAAAAAGGGCCAGGGATAGAATCATGGGCAACAGTAACTGGGCACAGGTGAAGGAAGTTTCCCAAAGGAGACTGAAGAGGAAAGGCCTGGAAGTTTGGGGGCAG